TTCAAAGGTATTTACCTATATTTCCCTAATAAAACTGAACTGAACTGAAAAGTTTTTTTGAAATGTATTTTCTCATAACAACGGTGTCTCGTTACATAAAGAACTGATCATTCCTCCATTAAAACTTTAAATCTTGCGTGAATGCTAGATACATCCGTCTGCATATATACAGGTGGTACCTCACCTTCGCTGCCTCATAAAACTAGGATCAAACTTGTAGGTGACTCTGCAAATACGATCTTGAATGGCTGTGCATTACCTGAATAAAGTCTTAATTAGAACAAGATTGTTCGATCGCTGGGACAATGGTTAAATTTGCCTGACGTTTCGAGATCCGCCGCGGATTGGTCATCAGAGACATAATCAGAGAGCCGCAGCAGATACAGATACCTTATGCACAGGAGTTTGCAGGATAAAGCAGTACAAATCGATAACTGTATGACGTGAGTGCCAATTGGCCACTTCAGCAACGAGAAGCAGTGTTGGCGCAGAATGGCGCGATGGCCTGTCTATTCCCCTAGCCGCGACTTGCTTTGGCCAAATCGAGTCCCAGCATCGAAACGTCAGGCAAATAAAACTATTGTCCTAGCGATCGAATCATATTTTTTTCTCAATTATTTCCTGGGACTCGCATGTTTGCTGTTATTACCAAAGTCTTGATACCCAATCACGTTTTCCCGAATTACGAGTTTGGAGGTTGTGATTGTTGATTGTCGTTTCTGAAAGGACTTTTTCTACTAAACTGAGGTCTAATAATTGCTCGGATGTGCCCTTACGTTCGCCCATTCGAAGTTAGATGGAACTTACACCTTGGCATAGAGTTTCATCCCCAGAATCCTCCGTCAGGAGATCATTCAACTCCCACAGTCAATAACGGCGGTCTTGAATTGAAGAGGAAGGAGACCGCAATGGAAAAGATTAATATCCCAGGTTATATCCTTAATTATTCGACACATTCTTAAGGTCCTTCTGCTTATATGACGTTCATGAAATAACCCTCAAAAAGATAAGTTAGTATAAAATTTACTTTGAAAGTCTATAGGCTCGTGTGCACCAAGATAAACGCCTGGTCCGAGTGGACTTCGATTTATTCCATATCAGAATCCATGAGTTTCGTAGATAACTATTCATTGTCAAACACTGCTGCGCACGTTCTGAGTCTCACCATACCTGTGTCAGTTCGAAGGACCAGTTCGTTCAGGTTAGACTACCT